TCAGAAGATGCACCCTCAACAGGAACTGAATTGGGTGCATTAGCACCAATCAGGACCTTCAGCAAAGAGCGGTGTACCCTCCTTACCCTGGTCTGGTCATGAACTGGTGCCACTGAATACACTACACCACCCTCCCTTGGGACTTGGACAACTACATGCGTCACTGAACTCCACAAATCCTGAAATTTCTGACGACCTTTGCTCCCCAAGTTTCGGATCAACACAAACTGGCCCTCCTTAAGAGGAGCTTCTTTGATGTTTCTATCATGATTAGCCTTTCTGCGTCCAGCAGAAGTCTTCAACTTTTCTCTAGCACCCTCAAATGCTATTTGCAAGCGAGTCTGATGTTCTTTGACCCACTCATGAACAGTTCCCTGAACTGGGTTTTCAACTCTTCCCAACAAAAAGTCAACTGGAAGACGTGGTTCTTGACCAAATATTAAGAAAAATGGTGACTCACCAGTTGATTGATGAGGGGTGGTATTATATGCATAAAGCAACTGGGGTAAACAAACGCTCCAGTCTCGTTTCCGGGACGTGGGCAAGGTTCTCAACAGGTTGTGAAGCGTCCTATTAAAACGTTCACATTGGCCATTACCAGCTGGATGGTAAGGTGTGGTACGAGATTTAACAATCCCATACAGACCACACAGCTGCTGGATCAGAGTGCTTTCAAAGTTGCGGCCCTGGTCTGAATGGATGCGTGCTGGTACTCCAAATTTTGCAAACCATTCAGTGACCAGGACCTGCGCTACAGTGGAGGCGCGCTGATCCCTAGTTGGGACAGCCAACGTATATTTGGAAAACACATCAGTCATCACCAATACATTTTCTATACCAGATGGAGTTGGCTCTAACAAAGTAAAATCGATTGCCAAAATTTCATTTGGTTTTGATGCAAGCAAATGGCCCATAAAGCCACGAGCAGGTGGCTGGTTATCCTTAGCAACCTGACACCGCTTGCAGGTTTTACACCAATCTGCAACCTCCTGTGACATACCTGGCCAATAACAGCGAGACCGTAGCAAAGCCAAGGTTCTTTCCACTCCCTGATGCCCATGTTCCTGATGGACCTGGGTCATGATATCCTTGGTGAGGGACTTTGGCAGGAGAAGTTGGTGCACTTCCCCACCACCATCTGGACGGAACACTCGCCGATACATTAGCCCATCCAACTCAGTCAGGCGATCCCACTGATTTAGCAATGCAAGAGCCGATTGTGAAAGCCCTTGCCGCTCAGTCCGATTTGGCCGCTCTTTTCTCTGCCAAAAGACAAGAACTTCTTGAAGGACCGGGTCAGCCTGCTGGAGGACATAGAGATCACCAGGGGCAAGAGCAGGAAAGACAGTTACAGAGGACTGGATGGTTTGCGTTTGCTCACTCTGCACAGCTAGCTGTAATGGCTGAGGCACAAGAGTACCTGAAACCAAAGAAGTCACTTCCGATGGAGCCGGCCACGGCCTACGAGACAGAGCATCAGCATTTTGATTGGATTTAGCAGGTCGATACTTTAACTCAAAGTTAAAGGAAGCAAGCTGGGCTGCCCAGCGCTGCTCCACTGCTCCAAGCTTAGCCGAATCCAAGTGGCTCAGAGGATTATTGTCTGTATAAACAATACATCTGTGGCCCAACAGATAATCTCTAAATTTTTCTGTCATTGCCCATTTCAGGCCCAACAGCTCCAGTTTCATCGAGCTGTAATTTGACATATTCCGCTCACTAGGTCTTAACCCGCGGCTAGCAAAAGCGATGGGTCTTATCTTCCCCCCTTGTTCTTGTGACAAGACCGCTCCCAAACCACTATGGCTTGCATCCACCTCTAGGATGAAAGGGAGGGAAAAATCTGCGTAAGCAAGGACTGGAGCAGAGGTGAGCTTGGTTTTAATGGCCTCAAAACTCTGTTGACACTCCTCAGTCCAGGCTCCAACAATACTCCGGGCAGCCTTCTTTTTAGATTCTTTACTCGTTAGCTCCGCTGCTCTACGATGCAAGGGGGCAGCCATCTTAGCAAACCCTTCCACAAACCTACGGTAGTAGCTAGCAAATCCCAAAAAGGAACGCAACTCAGTGGCCGTGGTGGGCACAGGCCAATTTGCTACCACTTCAATTTTAGCGGGGTCAGTGGCTACTCCCTGGTCAGAAATCACATGACCCAGGTAGTGCACCTTCTGCTGGAAAAAACGGCACTTACTAAGCTTAGCTTTAAGGCCCTCCTTCTGAAGCCGTCCTAACACCACATCCAACCTCTCAAGATGTTGCTGCACAGAAGATGAAAAGACAACAATGTCATCTAAATATAGCAAAAGGGATTGGCATTGCTGGTCACCAAAAATGCGCTGCATCAAGCGCTGGAAAGTGCTCGGAGCATTGCATAGGCCGAAAGGCATGCGATTCCACTCAAAAAGCCCAAAAGGTGTACAAAAAGCGGTTTTATGGCGATCACTTGCTGTGACAGGAACCTGATTATACCCGCTGGCCAAATCCATAGTGGAAAACCACCGGGCCCCTGTCAAAGCATCAAGGGACTCTTCAATGCGAGGGAGTGGAAAAGCGTCCTTTCGTGTCTTGATGTTAAGTTGACGATAATCAACACAAAGCCTAATGCTACCATCCTTTTTGCGAACAATCACAATTGGTGATGCATAGGGGCTGGAACTTTCCCTAATGACATTTGCTGCCAACAGCTGATTTATGTGCTCCTTCACAAGTTCATACTCTGATGGAGGAATCCGACGGTAACGCTGCCAAACGGGAGCGTCATCAAGAAGGGGAATGTCATGGCTGATCAGGTTGGTGCAACCCAAATCCTGATCATTAGTGGCAAACACCGAAGTGTATTTACCCAACAGGGCTCGCACCTGACACTGTTCCTCCTCTGGCAAAGGTGATAAATCAATTGTCTTGATCCCATCTAAGACAGGAGCAGCAACTGTTTGGGAAGACACATTTACAGAAAATGGGACTTCAGTTACACCCGCGGGGAGACTCACCACGCCAACACTATTTAAAGATCCCACAGTGGTACGAGGGTAAAGCAGCACATCAGTGACGCCCACATTCACCACTGGGATATAAGCAGTTCCCCCGAACCACCTGAACTAAAGCAGGAGATGCTAACAAACCAACTGGTAAGCCAGACTCTGATGGTTCGAACAAGACAGTGGTACCTGAGTATTGCTCACAGCAGGTAGTCGGCACAATCTTCATTACACCTCCTGGAATGCGGCAGGCCCTCCTGCCCTGCACCCTAACCTTACTAGGCTCCTTAGGAGTGTGCTGTCCTTCAGCTGCATGACATTTCTGCAAGGCCTTAACCAATGGTTTGGGAAATGATGCAGCAGGGGTAGTATTAAACAGAGCATTGCCATGCTGTCCAAATAGTTCTTGGTAACACTTATTTATGACGTTCATCCCTAACACGCCAGGTACTGAAGCTGAACCACTATCTGGGGGATTTCTCACTACCAGCACTCCACAGTGGGGCATCAACTTGCCGCACAGTTCAATAGAGACTTCCAAATAGCCGATGTAAGGAATAGGGAGACCGTTGGCGGCTTTTAGCTGTAGCCAGTGGCAAGCTCTCAAACGCTCTTCGCCCCAAGGCTCAAAAAATTCAATAAAGAAGCTCTCTGTAATAGTGGACACCATTGAACCAGTGTCAACTAGGCAAGGCACCTTCACTCCACCCATGTTCACTTCAATATGCGGACAAGAAGCAATTAATTTAGGTGCATCTTCTGAACACAACCCAGTCATTGAGCCTATGGATACCCCACCCGAGCTGTGGCTCTGCAACACGGTGGGCGCTAGTTTTCCGGAAGCTGGCTTCCCCCACGCTGCCCTGATGGCTGATTGGAGGGCACAGGTGGTGCCCTGCACTCCCTAGCAATATGTCCGGGTTGTTGGCATCGTCGACATATAACAGGACTGTAACGTTGAGAGCGGCTACGCTCTTGTGCAGTTTGGAGGAGAGTAATGCTTTGTGCAAGCTGATTAAGCTGCTCCTGTTGCTGTTTTAGCAGTTCTTTTATCTCATTAATCTCTCCCCCAGTGGGGCTAGCAATTGCTGGTGACCCACCACGCACCGCAAACTGAAAACTGGGCGCTGAAGGCAGAGAGTTACTCCGGCCCCTCAAACTAGCTGGCAAACCCTCTAATTCCCACCTCATTGCCTCACCTCTGACATCAAGCAGTGTTGCTGCCGGTTTCAGACGAACAAACTGTTTTAGCGCACGACGGAGTGCACCATCAAGGACATATTCTATGAACTGGTCACGCAAGAGAACTTCAGCATCTGGCATGTCCCTAGGAGCCTGTGTTTTTACTTTCTCCATGAGGCTCATCAAAGCAAGGGAGAACTCTTGTAATGTTTCCCCTTCCAATTGCTTTCTGGAGAAAAAGGCCTCCTGTAATGCAACATGTGACTCATTACATCCATAAAGCTCCTTGAGGATAGAAATGATTTTAGCTGGATCCCCTCGTTCCTGACTAGAGCGATATTTGATCTCATCCCTAGCCTCTCCTTCTAAATGGTCGTACAAAAAGAAGGCCTGATCTGCTGCTGACAAATTTCGTGCCCGCATACATGCCTGCACCTCCTCAACCCACTCGCTCACACTTATCCCCATCCGTCCCCTAAACATAGGACACTTACGATCGCGTGGGACAAACACTAACCTGTCCATTATTTGGGCAGTGGGGGGTGCAGAAGCTGAAGACGGCCCGGCACTGGAGCTAGATGTGGAAGGTGAGCGCTCTGCACGCAGCTTCTCATTGTCAGCCTTTAATTGAGCAATCAGGGTCTTCAATTCCAGTAGCTCTTCCTCCATTACTACAAATGATCAGCTAAAAAAAAACAAATGAACCGCTGCTGTTTGTCCTTAACACACCAAAAAAAAAAAATTACTGCTTGCACACAACTGTCACAAAAATGCAATAAAACAGAGAAGAGTCTCAGCCTCACAACTGTAAACCGTCCTACCAGCAACGCCAAAATGTGGCGGGAGCGGTGTGATAAGATTTGGGTAACTTCAATTTAGAAACACCAGGTAAGAAAAGATTTAATAGATTTTAATGACTCCGCTTAAAATGTTACCATTAAGGCACACAGACCCGCTACAGATGAGGCTTGAGACAATCTCACCATTCAACTCTTTTATTATACAACTTTTAGTTTAATTCAAAAAGACTAAATTAAAACCTCACATTTAAAAATTTTTTCAAGCGTAACTCTGTGAGGAGTGAAATTCAGGGTAGGGTACAAAAAAGAAAAAAAATAAACACAGCAAACAGAACTAGGCAAAGCAAAAGAAAATCATGCACCAAACCAGAAGAGGAACCACCACCCAGAAGTCCACCACCAACACCACGAGCTGACCGTTCCTGTAAAAAAAACAACATTCAGAGTACAATTCTCATAATACAGTTCAGTCCACAATTTAACAGCAGTATAGTCCAGAATTAAGGCCCATCCTGGGAGGAACCGATCCGCTGTGGCGGACGTCACTCACGCAGCACCAAAAGAGTAAGTCCGAGCTGATCGCCAATCAGCCACGCTGGACGAGTGTTAGAAGTCACAGCTTTATGCCGGCCGGGGCGGCAGGTATGAAGCCAGCAACAGGACGGCAGATAGGCAGCTGACAGATAACCCAGCTGACAGGCGAACAACGCAGGCGAACAGTCGGCTCAGGACAAACAGCAGCGGCTATCAGAAATAAATATTAGAAACAGAATCTAAAAGCATGCAAAAACTAGCACTGTGCTTACCACTGAGCTCTTTAAGTAGTGCCTCTTACAGGGAGGAAAGCGTGGGAAGCTTGTACTGGCAGTCCGAAGGACGATTGGTCCACAATCAGTATGCCGTTAAGCGCATTGTTTAAGTGCATGCATTCATTTGCAGCTGTTATACAAAAAATGAAAATAAATCAAAAGTAATAAACTTGCTCGAGAGAGAAGAAGCCTGCCTTACCTGGCGTGCAGCACCAACAAACGCAGAGGTCTGAACCGGAAGGAGAACAATGCAATGTCAACCCGGTGAGGGAGGGCCCCTTATATACACAGGCAACCAGCGAGCGCCACAACCAATTAGAATTAGGCACCCGTGTGGTGCGTTCAAAGCCCACCAGGGCATACTGCCACACTAAGATTTTGTATCATTTCAAGATAAGGTAATGCAACAATTTTTTCCAGAATTCCTGGTTTCTAAGTGTGTGACCACCTAATACATTTGCTTTGGCTACCCTCTAATATCTTTTAGTGAGATTTTGGGACTGTCAGTAATGATTCTTATATCATGGTCATATTAGAAAATTAAATTGAGAAGTTTTCCAAAGCACAAGAGAAAAAGAAAATTGTTTTCTGGAATTAACCTTAAGATAAGACCTTTTTGGCCATTGGTAATGCTTGTTCTGGAGTTTATTGATAGGGTTTAGATTTTCCATTAGGTTTGTGTGGTTTATTTGTTCATTGGTTTATGTTAAAACTGTCTTATAAAACTATTACTGGTGCTCTTCCATCATATTCAACAAATCTCTTAACAATAAAGCAAGAAATTTATACTCTTAGATTTATGGACATCCCAAAATTTGTTGTTCACAAAGTACAAACTAAAATGGGCAAGCAAAGTTTTAGGTTTTCCGCGCCAACTACCTGGAACAGATAACAGTCTGAACTTCACATTCAAGGCCTTGTGATGCTAAAAGAATTTAAAATCCTTGTTAAATAATTGCAATTAAGTAGGCCTGTTTGTAAATATCTTAGGTGAGAGTTTCTACAGAGTTTTAAAAAGGGATATCATATTTCTCCTATCCTATCCTATCTTCTCTTCATTACTGTTAAATCTAGAGCAGAATTTAAAGTCCTCCTCATAAACAAAGCCGTAAATGGCCAACCTCCATCTTATATCAGAGATCTAATTGTTCCCTATGTTATTAACAAGGCACTTTGCTCTCAATCTGCAGATTTACTAGTGGTTTCTAGAATTTCTAAAAGTAGAATGGAAGCTAAATCTTTTAGTTATCAGGCTCCTCTCCTGTGGAACCAGCTACCAGTTCTAGTCAATGAGGCAGATATCCTGTCTACATTTAAGGCTAGGCTTAAAACTTTTGTTTTGATAAAGCTTATAGTTAGAGTGCCGCAGATTATCCTGAGCTATCTCTATAGTTATGCTGCTATAGGCTTAGGCTGCTGGAGGACATAGGGACCCCTTTTCATTATTCTGCTTCATTCTATCCCTATTCTTCCACTCTGTAGTATTAGTTAGTTTAACCTCTAACTGTATATGCTCTTTTTCATCCTCTGACATGGGAGTTGGCTCAGAGCTCGTCTGCCTGGTTTTGCGTTTCCTGGACAGGGCCACATGTAGAGCTTGTTAACAGTTACCCTTCATATGGCTGCTTCTTTTTGTATGTCTGTTTCTGTCTCCTTGATCCCCAGTCAGCCTGGGCAAATGGTTGCTAACACTGAGCCTGGTTCTGCTGGTGGTTTCTTCCAGTTAAAAAGAAGTTTTTCTCTCCATCGTCGCTACATGCATGCTAGGTGTAAAGGATTTCTGTTGAATTAATGAGTCAATGCAATCAGCTGGTTTTCCTTATATTGAAACTTTCAACCAATCTGACTGTATGATTTTATTAAATTGTCTCTGTAAAGTGCCTTGAGATGACAGGTGTTGGGAATTTACACTACCGTATATGAATAAACTGAATTGGAAATGAATGAATGTTTTGAAATTCTTCCATGTTTTATGTTTGATATGTTTTTTTAATGTTTTTTTGTGTTTTATATAATGTAACATATATGCTGCTGTCATTTTGGCCAGGCCTTTCTTGCAAAATAGGTCTCTGCTTGGAGGACAGAATACACTGTTCCGTTTCTAACATAACGGCATAATAAAATGACTGTTATGTTGAATTACCTTATCTGTCAAGTAGAAAATCTGCAACCTCACTATCAGTTTTAAAGCACCCCTCCACCATGAATTGTCTCCGCCTGGTATAAACTAGGCTTTTTACCAGTCTAGGTAGCCTCTTGTTTCCTCCTGGTTATTACTTATTTTTCTTTTCTTGGCTACTTACTCTTCCCTCTTACTGGGCAAAGAGCATGGGTTTTCCCCTGTTTCAGCAGAAAATGTATAGTAAAATGATGCATGCAAATATCAAAATGATCTATGTATATGATCTAGTAAATGATCTTTGCTTACCAACAAAACTGGTTCATTAGGGAAAATGCTCAGGGCTAAAAAGTTTGTAATCTTCTGGCAATTCCAATGAAAGTTGGTGTGGCAACATGGCATCTTCCATTGGTTGCACCACTGTCTATGTACCGGTATTTATAAGCAACTCACTCTAAGCTATAGAAATGCTTTACTTGTGATGCAATTGTTTTTAGACTTTTGCAGAAGATGTATTTAAAAATGCTTGATTTTTTGATAGTAAAAGCCAAATTTGTCAAACATATATCTATTCAAGTACAATGCATAAGCTAAGCTTTTTTACTTTTAAAGGAAAAGTCTGGTCATATTCAGAATTAAAACTTCCTAAAGTACTTTAAATATTAAATTATTACATATTGTTCAATAAATGATAAGTTTTTTAATTAAGAGTAATTTTATTTGAATGTGTTTGTCAAAGAACACTACTGCCACTTACTGGTTTGTGATGTCACGGTGTTGTATCGGGTGTTGAGCAAGTCCCAGTGCTGTATCTGGTGTTTGTAACAATGCGCTGTTATAAGTCATCTCTTAAACATTCTTCTTCTAAATGTTGGCTACATATTACATGTTTTTTTACACTGGCCAAAAGTCCGATGGCAAATCATCTGTCTTCAAGTTGGCAATCCAATGACAAACCTGTCCTTGGAGGATCAGGAATCGGAAAGGTGAAATAACAAATTTCTTTTCCTCTTTTACCCCATGTATTACAACTTCCAAGTGCCATGCATGTGGGCATTATCAGTTTAACTATAGCTCTCGCGGATTTCAATGGTGAAGTCCTCTCGAAATCTTAAATAATTGTTGCAGGTGTGTCTAGTAGCTCCCACTGACTTTGATTGTAAAGCGGAGAGAATGGCGCTAGGCGTACTGTACCTCACCATGATGTCACTGCCGGAAGATGTCAGGAGTGAGGTGTTACTTTATTTGGGCAAAAATGGCCAGTCCCTGGCTCAGTAATCCCAACAAATATTATTGTTTTTATTTTTTTTACCGATTAATGCTAAATTGATTAAATCATCGCAAATGTATTACTTTTAGGTATAGATAATGATTCAATGATTATGAATTAATGACCAGACTTTTCCTTTAATGGAGTTGAGGAGTATAATCAGCACTTGTACTTTTGCTTTTTTTTTTATTTTTATTTTTTAATATGGCTAGTTGTAATTTTACTTTAGTAAAGAATAAAAGTACTTTTAATAACTTGGACTGCAGCAAGGGTGTAACAATTTAAAATGTAATATGTTGATTAAATTGTTTGGATGTTAGGAAATCAGGCTTAAACTTTGGCAGTAGCTTTTTAGATTACGGTTACCATTTCAGAATTTCTTAGTTAAAATAAGAAAAAAAAAGAATCTTGGAGTTGCAGCAATTATACAGGCTTTTCTAATCCCTCACATGACACCATGGGTCTATGTTATGTGCAGTACTTTCAGAAGTGTGGGTCTGAATGAATGGAAACCCTAGGAGATGAGGATCAGCAAATTGTCCCACTGGTTCTGGCAAGCACACAAAGATTCACTCTTCATTTTAAAAGTGGTCACAGCTTGGTATTTAACGGAAAGAATTGACGAAGTCACATTAAAGGAGAGACGGCAGCAATCTGGAGAATGTAGACAGGTCAAATCTCCACAGGACTGAGTCTGAATACCACATTGTCACTGTTGCATCATGCAGAGGACACTGACAGAGGTCAGGTGTGATCTCTGCAGTCAGCCTATTTAACAAGCTTTCAGTCAGTTCAGGTGGAAAATCAGTAAAAACCCAACAGCGGTATATCACAATGTGTGTTTGAATAATGTTATCTGTGGAGGCAGGCCAGGCTGTTAAATAAATATAGATTTTCCAGTTATTGTTTTAGTACAACTTGGCTTTTATTTTTATAGCAATGTCTATAACATCTGGCCACTATTATACTACCACATATTAGATAGTAGCTATTTATCAATGAAAAACAGATGTTCACTGATAGATTTAGGGAAGAATGACTGATTTTTTCTGCTACTAGAATGTTTTTTTTTTTTCTGAGACAAGGGATTTAATGTCTTTATTTTTAGTGTCTGTCTGTATTTCATACTATTTAGATTTTTGTCAATTATTTTCATCAGCAGTGACATAGATTAATTACTATTAAGAGAAAATGAACTGATACGAATTATGCTGGTAAACTATTTCTTATTAAAAAAAAATATGTATGGGAAATTACTAGGAAATCGTTTAAAACAAATATTATATCCTTAACTCAGGTGTATAAAACTGGTTTCAAAAACACAATTCCAAAATCGAAAAAAAAAGAAAAAACTAAGATTGAAAATGCCAAAAAGCATAATATAAGTTAGAACACTACATGGAGAAACCAGTAAAATCAATATAAAACAGTGAGTTTATATGCTTAGCCAAGACTAGAATATGTGATTGACTGCAGACGACTTATTTAGGGGATTATAGTGTCATCCAAATTTCAACTGGAGCATCTCTGAAATTAAAAATTCCAAGTCGAAAAAAGTCTAGGCACTTTCAAATGGATGCTTCCTATGTAGCAGATTTTGAGTCAGTCCAATCACCAATATTCAATCTTTTTGTCAGGAAGGATCTGTGTAAAATGAAATTAGCAATTGTATTTAAAAAACGCAATAGTAGTACCCATATATTAGGGGACAGTTACGAAAAAAAAAAAAAGTTCAAAGAAATTAAAGTTATTTCATATAAATAAATATTATTCAGGTACATAATATTTAAGATATGTGGTTATAGATATCTGGTTATAGATTTTCTATGATTTTTCTGTGGTGTGCCTCATGCCAAAGACAAATCTATTAGAGTTTTGTCTTGTTCCTGATCATAATCTGAATACAGGAATTTTTAAACAATTCTCTAACTTTGTCATATAGATATATTTGGC